ATAACTTTGGTTGGATCGTAACAGATTGACGACTACCTGGTAAGATGAATGCACGAACAGTCCAAACGCCGTCGCTAAAATGCCCTAGAACAAACAAAGGGGACCAACCAACGCCATGCTCCCAAAAACCATAAACAACAGCCTTTAACCTCCTGTTCTAATGCAGATTCCATCATGCAACGAAGGTTGCAGCATCCCATCAGTCTGATGCCCGGTTCACTGCGCTCCATGTCGGTTAACTTTTTCTGGCTGTGTTCCGCAAGCAAGCAGGCAAGAGGAAAACCAAGAGCTCAGTTGGTCTCATCAGTCTTGGCCTTTAAAAGTCTTGGTTGTAGCTGTCTTTTCCCTGGCAGTGGCCTTTTTGGCCCTGGTAGTCGACTTCTTTGCCTTGGTCGTGGTCTTCCTGCCACCGATTTTCTTGCCCTTGGCCTTGGTGGCGTTGCTATCCATGTTTTGATCCTTTCCCTGATGCACACAAACACTTCGGTTTGACTCACGATATCTTACTCATGTTTCCAATAGTAGATGTTGGAAGAATGTACTAACCTTCATCTCGGCATTAGGGCCAGCCGGAAACCGCAAGCGGGGGTCCACCTGGACGTAAAGGTGGGCGATTCTCTTGTTGGTTCGAGGAGTATCTAGGACCGCGTCCAGGCGGGCCTCAAAGAAGGGAATTTTTCCGAGCACTTAGGACTGCAGAGTTCGTCCTGCGAGCCGGGGACAAAACGGTTCGTGGGATTGACTGAAATGTATGAATGAGCAATGCTCTTGTTGGTCCGGAGACCTGCCAGGACGGCGTCCCTTCAAAGCTGGGGAGAACTTCTGCAGCTTTCACGAGTGCTTCTCTTCCGAGACTCCCACTCTCTAGTTTGAAAGCAACTTTGAAATCCAGTCTGCTAAAACAATAAAGGGAAACCAACGAACGCCGCGCTTGATGAACCATGCCCACTGTGATGACCATCAACCTGCCAACTCCGAATCTGATGCACATTCCGTGGGCATTCCCCAATAAGAATACCCATTATTCTGCAACCATTTGGTCGACTTCCTCTCTCATGTTAAGTGGCATACGTACATTGTTTGATAGGCAGTAAGGACGAAGCTCAAAGCTTAATGGCCAGTGGGATCCGTGCGAGCAGCCTCCTTGCTAGCAGCTTCCTCGCTAGCATCCTCTTTGCTAGCTGCTTCCGGACCAGCAGCACCCGTACCAGCAGTCTTCTTTTCCGCTGCCTTCCTGGTCTTGGCCTTCTTGCCCTTGGTCTTTGTGGCCTCTTTGAGAATTTGTCCCCTAACACCGTTGCAAACAATGTTGTCGTGCTTGCCCTGATGCAGAAACACTTTAGTTAGACTCACGATACCTTCATACCCCATAAAGTGGAAAAGACTTACCTTCATCTCGGCTTTGGGAGCAGCAGCAAGACGGTTGGTCGCGGGGACCTGAATGTAAGCGTGTGCTACGGTCTTAGCGACCTCTCCCTGGTCGTTCAGGGTATCTATTGTGGGATACTTCCAGCTTCCATGTCTTCAACATACAACGACAACATGAGTCAAGAATGAGGTGGATAACTGAGATCTCAAGACGGCCCAAATGTCACCACCCTGTTACAACGCGACGTGGTGAGAGAAGAATGAGACGTGCCGCCCAATCCTGGAATCGACAGTCGAAGACAAGTGCCATTCTGAGTATAGCGTGTGCTTGCGGCGTTGTCAGTCAGATGTAGAGGGGATAAGCTTACTGATCTCGCGATTCTTGTTAACCACATCGCTAAAGTCCTTGATGGCTTCAACAATCTGCTTGCGCCAGCCGCGCAGCTTCTCCTCGTTGTTGGCCGGTTGGGTGCGGCGGCAACGTGGTTGAATTGGGCTCCAAAGCTTCCAGCACTAAATTGGTCGTAATTGGGCTGGTTAGAAGGAAACGGATTGTGCGGGTCTTCCATAATCGCAGATTTGTTTCCCATCCGAGCGAGATCGGACTGGTTATTGGCAACGAAGAGCTCGTCGAAGGGAATCTCTTCGGGATCATCGAAGGCGATCATGTCCACATCGTCATCAACCAAGTGGAGGTGGCCTTGGCTCATGTTCAAGTTACCTTGAGACTGGCTGCTCGAGCTGCCTGAAGTATGGTAAAGGTAGCCCGAATACTGGTTTGCGTCCATCTTGTCAATGGTTGACGGTGCTGAAAGCAAGTGGTTACCTGTAATGAGAAAGGTTGGTTTTGGTGTTGTTCCTCTTTTGTCACCAGACAATCGAGGATAACGGTGCAGAAGGTCAAAGCGAACAACTATAAAAACCCCCAATTTCATTACTGAGGAAAGGCCTGGGTGGTCGGCCGTGGGGCACTCCCCCCAGCGTCACCGCGCCCTCTCTTCATCCCATCAATGCCCTTCGTTGACGACTTAACGGTTGCCAGGCAACTGACCAGCCAAATCGACGACCACTATGTGATCCACTCTCAGCCTCATGCAAGCCCAAACCTTCGCTGCTTTTGGCGCAGCAGACAGTGTACAAACGGTACTTTTTGTCTCTCACCCCGCGCTCCTTTCGTTTGAAGTATGGGTCCAGTACCCGAACCTTGTTGAGTTTCCTGCCATTTTACATCTCACCGCCCTATGGCAGTTGAGTTCCTGCCCTCGGAATGTATCTTGCGGTGTCAATCTGTCACCTGGCAGCTGCCAATGAGTATATCTGTACCTGGAATGGCAGGCGTTGATCCACTGTCGCATTCGTCGTTTTGACTGACTGAGGCCTCAGGATGTTCCCAAAAGGTTGTTGTTGTTATTTTTAACGTCTACTTCCGCCTCCCGTAGGGCATGAGACGTAATCCCAAAAGGGAGGGCGTGAGGGATGTGCAAACGGTTTACCATTATCTCCCACCACTGGTTCCCAAGCCCCTCCCCTATAGGTCATTATCCTATTCCCTGATGATCCGAAACTTCCGAATTCCGTTCCACTTCCGAAATCTTCCATCCTCTGTCCCTCGCCCCACACGAAGCTGATGTATTCGAGACACCCTGTGTGTTATCCGTTCGATGGGTATATACCAGTAGCAGCTTTGGGGGTCCGTCAGTACCGTCCAAGTCATTCCACGTAGCATGCCGGATTGGTCTTCTCACCCCGTCAAGCAGGCACACTCCCTTCTGAGCAAGCTTTGATTGTCAAAGGGGTCTAACGAAAGGTGTTCCGAAAGGAAAGACCTATAGAGAATGCGATGCCACTGTTGAACCAGCTGTGATCTTTCCCGTATCCGTTTCCTTCGTATCTCAATCTGTGCATAGACAGCGTCCATCCGCCTCATCAGCTTTAGTTACTCACTCGCTCTCCTCCTCCTTCACCTTCGTCGTATCCTTCTCCTTCTCCTTCTCATCCTTCTCTTTTCCTGACTTATCCTGATCCTCCTCGCCTCTCACCTTCTTCTTCGGGGTACTTCCCTCCGGGGGACTCTTCGATTCTACCCTCTCTCTTCCTTTTTCTTTCCCCTTTCCCTTCCCCATCGCCTTTCCGTTCCTCCGGTTCGCACTCGCAGCCGCCGCTCCAGAGTCAGACCCAGAAGCATGAGCAGGTGTCCCAGAAGCCGACGCTCTCCTCGTATCGTCATGTAGCGATGGGTTGGTTGGATGCACAGTCGGAGGAATCCGCGTATCCATCCCCAGGGGCGTGAAGATGGAGGGCATCGAGCCGGAGCGTGACATTGACATGGACCCCGAGTCAGAGCGGGAAGTGGGGGTAAACAGTCTTCTAGCGACTTGTGGTGAAGGTTGTTGCTGTTGCATGTAAACGGGCGGCGGATTCCTCGAAGCAGGCAAGGAGGTCGGGGTGTAGGTGCGGCTTGCTGAATGCGGTGCTCCTCCAGAAATAAATGTAGAACTGGGGGAAGGAGCTGAAGGTGAAGCCAAAGGACTAGAAGCAAAAGGCGAACCAAAAGGAAAACCGAAAGGAGAAGCGGAGGCAGAAGTAGGACCAGGTGCTACCGCCAAAGGAGAGGCAGAAGCGGAAGCTGGAGCAAGAGGGGAAGAAACAGTTGCTTTGCCTTTGCCTTTCGGATTGCCGCTGGAAGTAGGAGGCTTGCTTGGTGTATCAGACCTGGACAAAGGGCTTGATGAGGGGATGTTGCCGGAAGGCTTTCTTTGTTTGCCACTCCCTTGACCCCGCGATGTCTTTGGCGGTGGCATCATAATGCCGGCTGCTTTCTCCTGCTCTGTCAGTACCTTTTTCCCTGCGGAGTACACCGTGGTTCTACGGTCGTTGCTTTTGGCGTTGTTTCTCGATTTCTGTATCGGGGAGTCAGACATGAGCTTGATTAGCCCCGAACAAAGTTTTAGTCGAACGGTCGGGTTCACGGATAGGGAGGAATATGTGGAAGCGGAAAAGCGTAGGATGCGAGGAAAAAGGGACGCACGGATGTCTCAGCGGAGGGAGTAGCCACGGCCCGCATCTTCGGGTCAAATATCGTGAATTTGTAAACGATGTTCTTCTGTGTCCGGAGACCCTCCAGAACATCCTCCATCCTCAAAGTGAAGTTCGGGTAGTCACGGAAACACGCGAGTGGGTTAACAAAGGTGGTGTCTTTAATAAACGCCCAAGGCGGGTAGTTGGTATTCCCTTTATGGGCTTCCACTGCCAGGGACTGTGCGTGATGATACGGTAGATTTGTTAGAATGAGACTTCCGAGCGATTATGTGAGGACAGGCAGTGACAAACCAGGATTTCATGCGCAATCAGCTCCACCTCGAGTGGCTTCAACGCTTTGATGCGGCTTGTCTGAGGAGTGTCCTTCTTCTTTGAATCCGGAGTGTTGTCAGCGTGGTCGCCGGCGGGGCCTATGTTGGCCGATTTGCCAGTGTCATTAGCCACTGGTAAAGATTCAGGAACTGGAGCATTGAGCTTTTGAACGGGAGAGATTTCTTCTCCAGGTTCAACCGCAGAGGATTCAGTGGCGGTTGTCTTTTTTGCGGGTGTGTTATGTTTGGGAGACTTCCTGTAATCCGTGATCGCTTCGTAAATCTTCTTTCTCCAACTCATCAGCATCGACTCCGTCCTCGGTATGTCATCCACGCTGTTGGCATGTTTTAACAGGGTGGGATCTTCTCCGTTCTTGAGCGCATTATAGCGCTGTCGCAAACGATCACCTTGCTCTTGAGTGGTAATGTAGCCTTGGTAACCATCTTCTTGGGTGGCGCCTTCCTTGAGTCCTTCCTCAAGAATCTCCCCATCACGATTGGGCTCGGATGAATCTGTAACCATGGTGGATATCGTGGTTTGCGCCTCCTCTGCCATGGTAAGGGCTGGTTGAGCTCGTGTAGTGGAGTTATCAGTTCGATGCCAGTAACAACGACACTATGGCCCAACTCAACGGCGAGAGCCATTCTTATAAGAAAGTCAAACATTGAGTGTTGCTAGACGTAACGGATTATATCCCAGTGCCAAGAGGCCATTGGAAAGTTCGATTCTAGTATCTTCGATTTGACAGAACAGAAACCCAAGCCAAGTGAGTCAGCTCCATTATTGTTGGACCCGGCGTCCCCCAGTTGCCTTACACACAGATTTCTTTTACAAGAGCTTCTTTGATCACTTGATGTTCCCTTGCGAATGGAAGAGAATGAATAGTGAGATTCCAGGATGATCAAGAACGAAAAGAAACTAGACCTAAAATGACGAAGAGGAGAAAAAAACATTGATAACAAAATAAGGGCGTTTACCAATCCCCGTCATGAGAATTCCGAACCTCCGCCGTCAAGTGAGCCTTGCTCAATGCTTTGTGCATATGTGACAACGACCAACAAACTGACGCTCCAATACTCTATGACCTAAAAGAGAGTGATGGTGACAGCGAAATTGACATTGCTCGATGTACTTCAGGCCTGTCGTATTCTCAACCCGTATAGACTTTCCAGTTGACAGTAAAAGCCGCTTTTGGTGGAAATCACAACGCCGTCCACTTGCTGTTGTCCTCCAGGACTGGCGCATGTGTACAGGTAACTATCCCAAGCCTTCCAACAGAAGTGACAACCAAAACTTACGGCTCCATGACAGAAAAGATCCGCGATGGCATCTAGCCTTGTAAGGGGGCTCTTGCTCCCTTAATCTCTGCAACATTCTGCCATCTTGACAACAAACATTTTTTTGTACATAAAGTCCATCCATAAACGCGGAAAGCAATGTTTGATAGAGCGCGTTTGGCTTACCTCGGTTTGATCTTTATTTCGTCTTTCAAGGTCGCAGGCAGCAGAGAACAAACTGAGGACATGGATCACGTCTTGATTGTGAGATGTGGAATAAAGTAAAAGCCAGAATGCACATGATGGGAAGAGAAGAAAATTGTAAACTAAGGAGAAGAAGGAGATCATGTACACAAAGAGTAGAAAGAGAAGAAACAAAGAAACATAGAGACTACCTCTGCTTCTCACTAGACCGTCGTGAGTAGTTGAATCGTCGACTGTGAGCACTACTCCAGGTAAACCGCCCATCCTTGGAGAGAGGGGCCGCGCACACTTTGGATGTGTCAACCTGAGGAGACACAGCGACCAGCTGTAGTGCTGAGGTCGAAGCGGCAGACATGACCGCGGCTGAGACAAGGCCAGTACCAATTCTCGCTGACGTCGTGTTCGGCGGCAGCCTGCAAAGCCCAAGGGAGAGGCAAAGTTGTTCGTTGTGGTGTTGGCGCGCAGAGAAGGAAGCATGACACGAAGATATTGGGAAGGCGTGAAGTGAGCCTTGCTCACTCGGGCTCCTCTGTTCTCCGCTTGGCACTCGCCAGCTGCTCTCGCTTGACCGCAGCAGCGTGGAGGTTTTCCTCGGAATTCACGACCTCCTTGGCAGGAGCGCAAGCCCATCTCATAATATAGTCTGGGTCAGCAAAGCTGACAGGTACGGCCTTGTTGATCTGATAGTGTGACCGGAGCCATTGGCAGCTTGTTCATCTTGAGGAGTCTCATGTGTAATATGGCAACGTACCTTCAAGGCATGAAGTAACGCCTCCACCCTGGAAGCAAACGATGGATACTGCTGGAAGGTCCATTGCCCGCCTTCAGCCCAGTTGCCAATGTTGACCTGGCCTTGGTGAGCCTTTTCGACTATGTCCTGTGATTGAGTATTAGTTTGGGCTGGCGGTATCGCTCTTGGGGAGGGACATACCAGAAGCTCGTAAGATATCATCTCAACCTCATCATCTTCAAGAGCTCGGGCTCTTCTCACATGTGTGTTCTCGATAAACACAGGGGCGGCTTCCGGCTGAGTTGACTGCGGACTAGCACTGGCTTGAGCGATACCTGCAGTTAGTTAATAATCAGCATATTTGTTCAAGTGTATTGCGAAGCAGAGTTCAGTTCAGAGTTATTTGGAGTTAAGAGAACAAATCTCCAGGGGAAAGCGGGAGTCTCGCGTTGTCCAGTAATGCGAGACAGTTGAAAGCGTGCTCGAGCTGACATACCTTGCACCCTGGTGCTCTGACCCTTTCGACGAGCCTGATTTTCCACCTCAGAGAAGTCGCGGATGGCGCCGAAAAGCTTCTTGCGCCACACGTCTCTGTCGGCCTAGGTGACAGGAAGGTCGTCGAGGCAGCCCAGGTATTTTACTAGGTCCACTTGCGCCTTATCCTGGCCGTTGCGTTGCGCTAGGCACTCGCGTTGGTACTCCTCAAACGCTTCCTTAGACTGGAAGCGTCCTTGGAACCCGCGCTCGAGATCAAAGGCGGCGTCGAAAGGATTACCGGCCTCTCGAGGAACGGTCGTGGGCTGGGCAGGAGGATCTAGGAAAGGTGAGCAACGTCTCCACCGAAGCAGCATGAGGTGGAGGCCAATCCTCATATCTGCGCGTCTGCGATTGTTGGCCATGGTGATTGGTTGCTGTTGATACCTCGGGTTGATGGTTGTATTGTGATGATGGCGTAGGTATATTTTGTGAGGATGAGTTGGGAACACCGGATTGAGGGGTCATGGAATTGTGGGTGGAAAGGCAGGGCCAGAAGAAGAATGTCTTGGCACTTGTAGATTTGGTGAGTTGCAAACGGTCGCAGCTTCCTACGGATGGCACAACCCCACCTTCCATCTGTTCTCGTCTCGAGAATTAACCAGGTGGAAGGTGGGGCTCAACTTCGTCGAGTTTTCCAGCAGAATCACAAGCAAGCATACGGCATCTATGCGATTATCCCTTTCCAGGCATCTGAAATGACCGTGTCGACCAAAGGTGAGATGAAATGTTCGCAGATGCGACTGATGCTACTTCGATGGCAGAGTGTCCTCTCCGCCTGGCTAGCGGACACGCCCCAAGTGACAGAGCCAGCTGGCAGCGTCTGAGTATGTGACGGCTGCTTGAGAACAAGACATCAAACATTATGCCAATGGTGTGTGGCGTTTGATGAGAGTTGTGTGGCTTAACTCCATGTCTAGTGTCGGGTCTCTTGGGCGATCGCGGGTCGTAGAACACCGTGAGACCCTTCTTCGCGACGATTATGATGGTGTCCATGGGACCGTTCTCCCCCGGCGCCGCCCGTTACCCCCGCTTCAATCCCGGACCCTGGTCAGGCACTACGCCTCGCGCGAAGAGAAGCTGCTCGCAAGCAGAAAAGAGGGATGGGCGATGGTCGGCGGTGAGGTTGAATCCAATCCGGAAGTGTGTGATTCAATGCATCAAGGGCTAGGCAACCCTCCTGCCCATATGACGGAGTGGGTGTAACGGCCTGGAGAGCCTGGTGTCCATTCTTCTTCCACTTGAGACCTGCTCAACGATGTCGAAGTTGACCAGCAGCTTCTGGACTTCACCAGTGACACGGGCATGAACCGCCTCCTCCCATACAAACTCGCCATCCTCCTTCTCCTAGAAGGTTTCGGCCCAATTCACCAGAGCGAAGGCGTCGGAGGCGTCTCCAGCCATGAGACCAATGAGCTTGAAACGTTAACAGAACGCCAGACCCGTACGGGAAACCTGAAAAGAAACTCACAGGGTCGCAATTGCCCTTGAGGCTGCGGCAACGGCAGCACTTCTTCTTGGCTCCAAGGGGGCGCAAACAACGAATCTTGACCGGGACGCCAACTTCTTGCCCGGGCGCCGCGAGGCCAACGTCCATGTCGATCGTCCAAAAACCACCGGCCCAGGACCGACATGAGAAGCGGCGCGAAATGGAATGGGAACTTCGCAGGCATTGGTGTCCGGTCCTGGCCGTACACCAGATATGCTCCAACACCCATGCCGACTTGGCCACCATGGGCCACCACTGGAAGGGATTGATCACGCCTCCGGTCATGTCTGTGCACCATCGTATGGCAATTGCGTTTTGTCCTTGTCGCCGTCCTGTGTCCTGCTGCTAGCAAGTCGAGAAAAGGGAGAATGCCAGAATGCATTGTCTGTGTGAACCGTGTTTGATGGTGGCCAACGAGGGTCTTGACCGGTCGGTTCCGCTGTGTCGCTCAATGCCAACGACGTCCACGGCGTCTCACACCGCTGCCCTGGCCTAAAATGGCCGGGAGAGCTTGGGTTGCGCTTGTATGGCCTTGAGCGTACAACGACGGACTGAACGAGGGACATGATGCGCCAGGCAGGTGAGGACACATGGGGTAGTAAATAGAAGAGCAGGATGCGAAACTCAAGTTACTTAACATCTTTTATAGCTGAAGAATTAGACCGACGATCACTCCTCTCCCGTTCAATGACTCAGCATTTCATGTAGTCATGCCTCTACCACCAGCTCACCACTCATATCGTTATCATTACCAGGTACGTTGTTTTGCGTTCTAGATGTTTCCTCATGTGGGATGTTCAAGGACTGGTTGTGTGGTTGGTGACGTGCCTTTTATCTGTTATTTCCGTTGCCAATGTGCTTATACTCAAGCTTGAGGTCGAGGCAGAATACTATCAAGGTGAAATGGGATAGAGTTGGGAATGCAAGACGTGAATCGCCATCAAAGAATCAAGATAGACTTGGACTCACTTTGGCACTTCCGTCTAGTTCGTCAAGGACACGAGCAAGGGGTATGACCCTGTCGCGAGTTTCCCCGTAGGACTCACAGAATATGATGTTGCATCAGTCGTTCCATGTGGATGATGAACATCACCATCGAGTCGTTCTTTCCACTTGCAAGAATGCAGCTGCCTAGAACTATGCGGGGCCGGTCAAGGTTCAAGACGCAGTCGGTCATACACCCAAGACGCTGCGTCAAGAAAGTCACAAGAGTCAACATGTTTGGTCATGACTCAGAAGTAATGCAATAAGAATCTGAGTGACTTCTGGCAACAAATGACTGGAATGATCGAGTGTCTCTGCGATGCAAATGGGATGTCGTTGACTTGCTTACGTAAAAAAACCCTTATCTTATCGAGGCCTCATTGCATGGTGAGGCTGACAGGCAAAACCACAGCGATTTGGGTCGGCCACCGGAAACGATGACCTCTTCCATCTCGATTTACTGTTGGGACCGGGTTTTCTTCTGGTGGCCTCGGAAAGTGATAGCTTGCCGACGAAGATCAGTCAAAGCCGCTCTACTTTTCTCGGTTCTTCATGATGTGAACCTCCGGGCATTGGATTCACGGAAGGCGGCAATGACCGGAAGGTGGATCATGATTCCAAGAAGCTTTGCTTAACAGATTCTGTCGGCAGTCACTGCGCAATCTGTTGGTGAGTCCCGGCAATAAAACTGAACGCACTTGCGACTTTCCAAGTCCGGCTCGTCCTTCCCGAGTTGCGGATCGTGCTTTTTCACACGGCATGTTTTCGACGCCATTCCGCCGCTAAGCAATCTGCGAGGTGTTAAGTACTTTCCATATCTTTATTTATCTCTATGGTGAGTTCCTTCATCGCTCGTAACCCATTTGGCGATTTTAGGTGGAAAGGTAGAAGAGATGGGTTATGGATTGAGCTTCCGACAAAGATCCACTTTCTTCCGAGCACCTCCTCCCACGGGACCCACATCTCCGAGCACAAAGCCGACTTGACCGGCCGGTAACGGCCCGGAGAGCCGGAACTTATGAATTTTGTTTCGCTTAGAGACGACGATGGCGTCAATGCGGATCTCTCCATGGGTAAGGGTCGAAAGTTACTTCAAATATTTGAAAGGAATGTGCTGTCATGAAATAATGTTGCGAAACAACTGGAGGCTTTTGAATACATGCATCGTGAATACGATCCCGGTGGATGAACGTAGAAAGAAAGGCTAAAACCAAAACCGAATCTGCAACGACTTTCGGCACCAGCCGCAAAGCATGGGGTAGCTCTCGGTCGCTTCGTGATGGGTTCTTGTTCATAAGGATTACAGTTGATGACTGAGGGACCATGCGATGGGCGTTGGAGCACCAGTTCAATGAACGACATCTCGAAAATTGAGAACCCAATGTCTCGTGTTCATCACTCGATATACGACCATACGGATGAAGCGTATTTCCTTCGCCGCCAAGAAACAAAAGTTTTTTCCGTCACCGAGGGGCACAGAAGTTGCAGAGATCGGAAACCATCGTCATCGCGTTTCATTCGATTTCATTGGCAATCATTGGGAGTTAGCAATTGGGCAAGGCTTTCCAGCGATTTCTAACAGTGGGTCTTTGGGGAGCCTATGACGTATTTTATTGAGATGCGGGCCAGATCGGGAGACGATGTACCGAGCAGCGATCACATTGGGCTTTTTGAACGCAAGACACAAGCAGAAGATGGGAAAACAACATTTCTGGATGCCAAAATACCATCTCATAATAGTGATACTCGATGTTGACATGCCGTGCATGATTATCTGTTCCTCGAAGCGATTGTCAGATTGTCGATGTCGTGCAACCCTCCAGTCCTCTGTCCTGCGACAGAAAAAAGATGACGATTCGGCGCCCGTCCCGGCCTCACCATTTCAGGTCCCATCACAGCGTCCACAGCGCCGTGGCTGCCCGCATGGCGTCGCGCAACAGCGCAGGTGCAGCGGGACGCACAGGCCGGCAGTGCCTGCCCTGCCCCTGTGCCCCTGTTGTCGGGAATGCGCCCGTTGAGGTTCGGCCAACCAAGCACCTCGCGACCGGATGAACCGCTAACAAAAACAATGGACGAGAAAACAACGTCATCTGCCATTGTTCATTGACCAAAGAGACCAGCTGACACCAATGTTGCAAGAGACCATCCCACGTTCAGGGACCAACGGTCATCATTGAGTCTGCGAATCGAAAATCCGGGGATGATGGGAATGCTGAGCACCTGGGCCTGACCGACGAAAACAATTGTCTTGTCAACAAGAGTGGCTGGGAGAGACACAAGAGATGTTCGCGATGGGAAAACGAGCCGCCAAGACATTCCAGCTTTCTCGGCAGCTTGTCTCACCACTGAAAGCGCTGGAAATGCTCTGAGGAGTACCCACTCTGCCCCTATCTGCTTCCATGTCATCGCTTCGAACGAACGCAGGGGAAAGTGTACGAATCTCGAATCTTAAAGATGTTGGGGAGAATTTTCCATGAGATATCCTAGGAGGGGCTGGATCCGTTACCAGAGATCTCCAGAATCTTAAGAATCTTAAAAAGTTTATCTTAAACCCCTCAGCCCAAATATTTTCCTTCAGTAACCGATCCCTTTCATCTCGAAACGAAGCGACGGTCGTCATCCACTTTGCTTCAATTCCGTCCCATCTTCAGGGCACCCGACCACAACGCCGCAACATCAAAGACCTCGTGCCGTACAACGACCTGGAACCCCTACCCTCAACGGAACTCCTTGACGACACGAACAAACGAAGATCCCCAGATTGGACCCTTCATTCGAATGACCCTGATTTTCCTCGGTTGACCGAATCTGGACACACCAAAAAATCGAACCCTGAAAAGGAAACCCTGAAAAAGGAAGCCTAGGATCGACCACACCGCTGTGGCTTGCCGGCCTGTTACGTTGCTTGGTACCAACAACTTTGTACCAGACACCGTCACAAGACCCGCTCGAATGAGATCACCGCCCCGTTCAGCGACAAGGAAGGCAGACCAACCAGAGACAACCAGCGACAACCAACCCACGAGACGATTCGACCCCCAACAAGCCGCATCATCTCTTACCAAGGATTAACACCGCTTCAAGAAAGTGGCGGGCTAGACCGAACCGAATCTCGACGCAGGGATTTCTGTTGTTGGATCTGCAGAGCTGCATCATTTCCACTTTGCACAGAAAATAAATAAAAGACCATGGCGCTCCTCAGACGTTCGAGCCCGGTCGGTACTTCTTCCGAATCTACTTCTACGACTCTTGCATTTGAAAAGAAAGATACTCCGAGAAGTATCTCTATCTCGACCACCAATCCAACAACGCTTACCAATAGAACAACCATAACAACCCCCACAACAACAAAATTAACGGCTACTGCCAACACACAAACAACGCTTGCGAACAAAAGCGCAACAAACAACTACAAGTCGCCACAACCATCTTCAACGACAACAACATCATTCATCTCCCAACTCCGACCACTACTCTCAACAACCCTCAAAACCCTCTACCAAACACACGCCCTCCTCTTCTCTCTCATCTTCAGCGCCACCCTCCTCCTCTTCGTCCGGTGCTTCAGCCTCCTCCACTCCGTCGTCCAACTCATCTTGCTCTGGACCTCTTTCGCCACCAAACTTTTTGTCTACCGCACCCTCCTTTTCGTCAAAACAATCACAATGGAGACCGCCAGCGTTACTTGGAACATCTGGGACAGTCGCAAGGCTCGCCAGATACGCAAGAAGATCGAGTTCGAGTTCTTTGTATGGATCTTGGGCCCTGGTGGGAATCTGTTGTGTTTCTTGCTTTGGCCGGGGTGGATTGTTTTGGGGTTGATGATTTGGGGGTTGAGTTGTTTGATGACGGGGGTGCAGGCTGCTGTGTTGCCTGTTAGCGGTTGAACGGTTTACGACTGCTGTTTGAAGAGAACGGACTCTGTCGAATGAGAAATGACGATCGAGGACCGCGATCGCAACGTCGCCTCGCCGGGCCAGGGACAGAGCTACTCGGTAGAAAACCCAGCGCCGGTCCGAGTTAAATGCGTCGCAGGCGTCGAAAGCATCGCTTCGCATACCACGAGCGCAGTCGCGCCGCCTTTGAGGCATACACATGCACCACAACACATAGCAATCACATCGTCGACCGTCGGATCACCATCACCATCCAAGCGGCAACGACAAAACAACACACCGAGCCAAGTTCGAGCAAAAACCGTTGCAACACCTCGATTCATCGCCCGCTATCAACAACGCTACCTCTATCCGATCCGCTCCAATCCAACCCAGTCGGTTCGGCGGTCAGCGCTCACCTCGAAAAGAAAAACGCATTCCCGCCCAAATCCCTCCTTATCTCATTCTGATAATCCTTCTCCGGCTCAAACTCCTGCCACGTGCTCGCCGGGTAGATATGTTTGTTGCGCTGATACCATCTACGATCAACGACTTTGGTGAAGGTGGGGTCGTCGTTTGCGCCTTCGAGGGTCATGATTTCGGGGAGGGCGGCGAGGCGGGAGGCTGGTGTTGAGATTGCGGAATCGATCGAGGGAGCTGTTGAAGAAGATGTGGAGGCGGGGTCCGATGAGGAGGACAAGAGCGTCGTCGGATAATCGAATAGCCGCTTGTTACCGGGGCCCATGGTTTTGTTGATGATGAAGAAGTAGAATTCGTAGTGCTGGGGAAGAGAGGGGGTTAGCATTGTTTTGGGGTTGGTATAGCATTGGTAGCGAGCAGTTGCATTTGCATTTCGCATTTTGGGGATAGCATAAGAGGATGGAATAGACAGCATCAAGATCATAGAAAGCATAGCGCAAGCAACCCATTCCCACCACCTCTCCCTCCTCACCATGCGAAGAAGAAAAGAAAGATGTACTCACATGCGGTATAATTATACTCCCCCGAACCAGCAACAAATCATCCACACTAACCCTCGCCCACGCCCTCCGCGCATTCAGAATCTTGTCCTGCCCCACGCCCCTCTCCGCGCCCACCTTCCGTGACTTGTCAAGAAACAGCCAGGCGTGGTCGCCCTTCTTCACGCGTACCATGCCTCCCGGGATGTTGGTACCATCGTAGAAGACGAAGGGGATTGCGATTTCCGATGCCTTAACGGCTGCTTGTTTGGCCAGGAACTCTTTGCGGATGGCTTCGCGCTCGGCGGCTTCGCGGCGGAGAGCGGCTTTGGTTAGGGCGCGGGGGATGATGGGGGCGGTGGTGTTGACGATTTTCTTCTTTGGGACGTCGGAGGCGTCGACGCTGCTTTCGCGGTTTGTTGTCGTGGCTGTTGTTGCTTCCTCTGTCGTGTTGTCCTCTTTCTTGTCTCCGCCCTCGCCGTCTGTCTTCGCCGTATCGTCCTTCGCCGCTGTCTTCGCCTTCTTCTTCACAACAAAAGTCTCCTCCTCCCCCTCTTCCTCGTCCCCGAAGCTCACCAACGCCTTCTTGGTCTTTATCCTCTTCGCTTTTCGTTCTCCCGTCGTCGTTGTTGTCTTCTTCTGTTGGAATTCGCCTTCGCTGCTCTTCCCTTCCCCTTGTCCTGAAGTCGTCGCTCCATTCTCTGCGTCAGTGCCAGGGGCAGGCGACCCCGTTGTTGACTGGTCTAGCGGCGTTGCTGCGGCGCTGGTATCTGTGTCGACTGTCCCGGTCCCCCGCGCAGCAGCAATGGCTGCCTCTCGAACTTCACGGTGCTGTTGCTCGAGAACTTCGGCGCGTCGCTTGCGGAAGTCGGCGAGGTTGACGAGGCCTACTGTCGAGTCGGAGACGCGCTCTTGAACGGTCTTATTTTGGGGGGCAAAGCGGCTGTTTGTGGGGTTCGAGGAGGAAGTAGCAGCTGGGTTCGGGGTAGAGGCACCGCTGCCTGGTTGTTGGTCGGCCATGTTTCTTCGTAATGACGGAGGGTTGGGGAGCTTGGTTGGTTGGATGGTAATCGGGAGTGTCGGGTGTCTGAAGCAATCAAGTGTCCAAAGTCGGGGTCGGAGTGTAGCCGAATGGAGGAGCAGGCGTGATGTTTGAGAAATAGTAATGGTGACGAGATTGTTATTTCGGTGACAATTCGAGGAATCAACTGAGCACCGATTGGAACAGCTATCAGTTCGCGGCAGGCAATGAGCATGGTCTGTGCGTAATGCTATCGATAGAACCAGGTGACTAACTGACACTAACAGTGTGCCTAGGTAATTCTGCTCGGCATTGTTAGCCCCCGATATCCTTCACACAAACCATCCGTCACAGCGATCCTTACAGTGCTGTACTGCAGCATCCGCCGTCACTGTCCGCAGGGCTTCTCAACGTTGACGAACTTCCACCTTTCAACGACTTTGCAACATGATGCGCCCGCGAATTCCAACCCGAATCAATCATGGAAACCAACAAGAGGAAAGCGGCGGATGAGGAGCCTGATGCGGTCAGGCCGGCGGAAGAACGACAATTGACCAGTCCAGTCCGCGAACCTGAGGCAAAACGACAAAAACAAACAAATAATGATGATCCCCAGCCGGCGCAAGAAGCCACCACCAAGCCGACCCCCAATGTCCGGAGCGCCCCGTCTTCCGGACCCGGCCAGACCGGCGTAACAACCGGGACTGCACCACGCAAGTGGACGGAAGAGTACTTTCGGAATCTCTACATTAAAGACCCCAGCTTCAAATACCTTGGCCTGAAAGACCCAGACTTTGCGCCATTGTACGTTCCTCTCAACCTCGTCGCCGTCATGATCACATCACTGATACTCATATGAAAGCCTCGATTCAAAAAACCAACTCGACTTCAATGACCCTTCCGCAGTAATGCAGTTAACCAAAACCCTCCTGAAAATTGACTACGGTCTGCAAATCGAGCTGCCGCCTGATCGTCTCTGTCCTCCTGTTCCCAACAGGCACAACTACATCCTCTGGCTCAGCTCCCTGCTTTCCTCCTCAACTTATCACCCTGACCAGACTCATCCTTCTTCTGGTTCTCAAAGGCGCCTAATAGGCCTAGACATCGGCACCGGCGCCTCAGCAATCTATCCCCTCCTAGGCTGCACTCAACACGCCAACTGGTCATTCATAGCAACCGACATCGACGCCCACTCTTTATCCTACGCCCAACGTAACGTTCAACTCAACAACCTTCCGGACCGCATCACCTTGTTACTTCACACACCGGACCAACCACTGATTCCCTTCGACTCACCCACCCTCACCGCGCGCGGGATAGAAAGGGTAGATTTCACAATGTGTAACCCCCCCTTTTTACTCCTCTCCACGACCTCCTTTCCTCGGCAGCTAAGAAGAGCAGGCCACCACTGACTGCTTGCACGGGCGCTGAAGTGGAAATGGTATGTGACGGTGGGGAGGTGAAGCATATCTTTCGTATGATCGACGAGTCGCTTGTTTTGAGAGAGAAGGTGGGGTGGTATACGAGCATGGTTGGGAAGGTTACTTCGCTGGAGACAGTAGTGGAGAGGTTGAGGAGGGAAAAGATTGACAATTATGCGGTCACAGAACTGGTCCAGGGGAACAAGACGAAGCGGTGGGCTGTGGGGTGGAGTTTTGGGGGTATGAGAGCTGGCGACAAGGAGGGAAGGGGAGTGGGTGGTGTTTGGAAGAAGTTGCTGCCGGCGGTGGTGAGGGTGGAGGTTGGGACATGGAAAGGGGCAGATAAGGTGGGAAACGTGGTGGAAAGGGTGAAGAACACTCTGGAGGGACTGGAAATGATGAGTTGGGAGTGGAATGGTGAGAGGATGAGAGGTGTTGGGAGGGCAAGGGGAAACGTTTGGAGTAGAGCTTGGAGGAGGAAGAGGGAGAGGGAGATGAGAGAGGTTATACAGGAGAAGAAGAAGGACGGTGATTGTGACGGTGGCGATGGGAATGGGCCAAGAGAAGAGGGGTGCAAACTGGGATTTGAGGTGGTGGTTGAAGTTGGGAAGGATGGGGCCACGAAGGTGGTGTTGCTTTGGAGGGAAGGACATGATCAAGCCATTTTCGAGAGTTTGTGGGGGTATATGCAGGGGAAGATGAAGGACCTATAACCTTCTATCTGACTGAAGAATGTTCGGTTTTCCCACTTGGAGCTGGCTCCGCGATGGATGTCGTTATGCATGGCGATAATCACCCACGACAGATCGCATGTTATCTCGCAGGGCGTCTGTTAGGGCACTAAATTGTGCTGGGTAAAGCACGAAACGAGATAGCATCCCATCTCACCACGTCCATCGCCGATAGGTAGGACGATTCTTGGTTTACACGATCGTCACTTCTCCATTCACCGATCTTTCTTCCTCCGCACGGCAACTTCACGTCAAGGGCTTCACTGGCTCATGACAATGTCAGCGAAGATAATGGAAACCGCACCCATGGCGACCATGGCGCCTTCTCTCCATCGGTCCATTCCAGTCGAGTGTCAAAGACTCGAACGAAAAATGATGGTTGCGTTCCCATGTCACATCACATCATGAATCAACAACATCAATCATTGGCAAATATTGGTCCTAGTATCAGCATCCAATAATCATCACCACAATGCCTACCCCTATAGTCCCATCTCTTTTACCGTCGATCCGCCACCGTGGAATGACAAGATACGTCAGTCAACCCGCTGACATTGAGACCAACCGCTCCCCCCGAGGAGCCCCAGGAGCCTGAAAGGCCAAGGCAGCGTGGCAGCAATGGAGCACTTCCACCTTTTCTCCGAAGCTTGCAAGTCGACTGGTCAACAGGTCGCTTCGAGTGGCGCCATGATGGGTGGTGAGTGCTCATGCTGAAATCATGGCCGATGGACTCCACGTACCATAGTGTGCTGACTGATAACCCAACCACGCAGCCAATGCACGATCAAAAACTCTGCCCGCAACATATCCGGGAGCTCGCAAGATCAAATACTCGCAAATCCAAGGACCGATCTACCACAAGGCGTGGTCTGCGATTCCCAGAACTTGATCTGGATGAAATCCCTGCCAGCGACGAAGAAGCGGTTCGAAACGATATTGAGAGTGACCCCGAAATGCACTGCCAAGGCGATGGCAAAGTTGATTACGATGGCGACGACGAATCCAGCACTGGCTGGTCAGATGCATACCAAGACGACAGCGATGCCATACAGCCTGCAGCCGTGCAGTCTGCTCCTGGCGAACCGGGAAATCCACCGGCACTGCCTGGCACCGGAGGTGTACAGCAACTTGGCCCAGGATCAGGATCTCCCACTCTCCCTGCTTTACGCAAAGACGAAGAGCCTGCTCACCACAACCAAGAGGCAAAAATTGTAGAGGCGGCTCCTCTGGAGCGTCTGGCTTCTATGGCCCCTATGGCTTCTATGGCCTTTGCGGCTTCAGCTTCAGCTCTGGCCCCTCATGCTCATACTGCCCCGTTTCTACCTTCAGCTTCTAATGCTGCCCCTGATGCTGCCACTGCCGCTGACCGTCCCCGCCTCCCAGACCGAAACCCATACTCCGTTCCATCCATGGCGGACCGGAACTCTGTCCACAACGGGAACAGGGCCCTTTACAAGCCAAGTCGACATCTACGCAAGGAGATCAGGCACTTGACCAGGGAAGTTAGATCCCTGTATAAGGCCCAGGGTGTCAGTCACTGGTCGATGCAGCAAGAACGGCAGACGTTGGGGTTTTTGGCTAGGGTGTTGAATATTAGTCCTTCGCCGGCCCGCGCTTCTGTTGGGCCTTCTGGTTCTGCTCGCTCCGGCTCTGCTCGTACCTCCGGTCCTTCCCAGGCAGTTCACGACAGACAAGACGCTATCAACCGTGTCAGAAGTGGCATCAACCAAACACCAGCACAAGCCGAGCCGTCGCAGTTCATCCCACCTCTAGGATTCTTCCCCACATTGAACCCGCCACCCGTCGCGAGCCGATCTGATCCTTCCCAAAACAGACCGCTGGGTTAGCAGCCACCTCGACAACCTGAACAGGGTCCAGCTCCCGCTACCACCTACGCCAACCAGCCGACAAAAGTACCCGTTCAAGCTGTACCACCACCATCATCATCATCATCAGCCTTCTCCATCACCTCCGCCGCTGCCGTATCTAGCTCTTTACCAGCATCAGCGAACTCCAACGGTGCTTCACCAGGACCTTCCACGCACCGCCGTACACGAGGAAAAAGTGCCCCGGTATACAACGAGGCAAAGTTACGCGGCACTGACAAGTATGGCAAACGAGCCTCGAACGGTGACACTGTTGTACAAAGGAATCGGTATCCTCCCGTAGCAAAACAACTGCGGGCTCAGAACCTCATTGAGGGGAAGACTTTCAAAGCGAACTCTGTTGGAGACAAGAACCAGATCCCATCTGTTCAGCGAGCAAAAGAGATACAGGAAACCGATAAGAATACTTGGAAGAACGCGACCGCAGCTAACCGTACCCGCAACCGTACCCGTCAGAGTATCCGTAACGGGAAATCAAGTACCATCGGGGCATCCGAAAGAAGATCTGGCGAGAGAACAAGTGGGCAGATGTTAACGAGGAGTCGGGTCCGTGGCGGCAGACTTCGACAAGTTTTAGGAGACGGCGAAGAAGAGCGGGATCAGGGAAGCGAGCAGCAGCAGCAACAGGAGGATGAGGCAGATGAGGATGAGGCAGATGAGGATGAGGCAGATGAGGAAGAGGCAGATGAGGAAGAGGAGGAAGAGGAAGAGGAGGAGGATGATGATGGATGGGAACCGTCAGCAAGCAGCAATAGGGGAAGGAAACTGCAAATAGAACAGGAGGCAGCAGCAGCTGCGGAACAAGAACAAGAGCAAGAAGACGAGTTGGCTGGATCAGGACCAGGACCAGGACCAGGGGAGGAGAATACGCCGGCTACCCGTAGCCCCAAGCCCAATGGGAAGAAGAGGGGAAGGCCGAGGAAGGGCGGGAGCGTCGGTGCGGTTATGTATGGGCAGAGGGAGAAGAGGAGGAAGGTTTGATGGGAGATTTAGGGTTATTGGGATATTGAAAGGAAAGGGAACATTCAGCGAAATAGTGGCTTTACGCTGAGCGTTATGAGCGAGTTTGGACTCGGGAGCAGGGAAGATGGTGATTTGGGCCGTTTGGTTGGGGTGGTTAGTGGTTGCGATTGGAATACGAGGTTGAACTCATTTTGAAGTATGGATAGTTCACAGGTACTCATTCGATACATTCAGGAATATTAACCAGCGATAAGTCCACGGAATATGACCTCTTGTTCGATCAAATATGAAAACGAAGCCGACGTTGAACTCAAAGGACGTCGTCAATGCCAAGCCCACGACGGGATGTCCTGAATGTGACGTTCTGCACGCGAAGCTCCAGCGAGTGTTCTAGGCCACCACAGGCCCGATTTAGCGCTGTGACCCCGCCCTAACGGGCTGCATGGGCTCGTCCCGAAGCGCGTGGATGGATTGCTGGGTATTGTGTATCGTGCACTATCAATGTCTTACCAAGGATATACTGAAGGTTGTTAGTGAAGCACCAATCCCAAGAACTTGGCAAGCTCGACGTCATCAGCCATGTTATCGGTCGAATTATCAGTTGACCCTTTCTTCCTTCGTCAACTAATTCCTTGTTCAGACAAGCTCTTGTCTTGGAAACTTGAAACTTTCAGCTTGCTTTGCTTGCTTTGCTTGCTTCCACCAACCCCTCCCCTTGTTTCCCCTCCTTCGTCGCTTCCCCTCCCGTCGCCATGGACATTCGACACCAACAGCAACAGTCGCTTCTGTTTGCTACTCGCTCTGCTTCTGCTGGGTAGTGTGACTGCGACACGACACGACCCGACCTGACCACTCGTTGAACGGGAAAGCTCCGATAAGGTGCAGCTGTGCTGGTTCCTTGTTTTGACGACGACTGTCTTTCGTTTATCTTGTTTGACCTTCCCTCCTCGATTCTTTCGTTCACGTCTTCTCGCCCTTCTACGCTTCTCTGCTTCCGTGTCGCAGCGACATACAGCCATCTTGAGCTCGACGCGGCACGCATCGACGACAGCGTCATACTGAGCAGCATGGCGAGATTCGGTACCTTTACGCGCCTCTTGGGTTTGGACCGACCACCTCATCGACACGATCACTGGTGGCACGAACATCGTCGACGACGTACGTTACCCCTTCCCTTCCCAAAGACAACCCAACTAACAACCACAGTTCTCCCTAGCTACCGCGAAGACTCCTTCGTGTCCGCCATCCCCGCCGAAACCGTCACCGAAATCGCCCTCCGCATCCGTCACCTGATCGAGAAATGCGTTCCCCTCGAGCTGCCCGTCGACCACATCACCTCCCCAAACAGCAAGATCATCACCAAGAAAGTCCTCAAAGCCGCCAAAGAAGCCGGCGGCAAACACCACCGCTCATGCGTCGTCTACTGTTTGTTGGTTAACAAGCGCTGGTGGAAACACCAAGCCGAAGTCGAGCTCTGGGACGCTGACCTGCACGCCCTCCGCGCCGTAGCCTGCGAAGTCATTGCCAAGCAGATCATCGAGACCGAAGACGACATGAACTTCCTGCTACACCAGGTCCTGCTCAAGCGCTACTCGATCATGATCGACAACAAACCCACCAAGCCGTCCAACGTGGTCGAGAAGGCAGTCGACTTGCATGCTCTTAGGGTGATCGGCTCGTCGGGCTACCAGAAATGCATCAACTACCTGTGGCGCGGCTGGCTGGTGCAGGACGAAAACGACCCGGCTACGTTCGTCGAGTATCGCGACAAGGATAATACTTCGTTTTGGTCACATCTCGACCCGGATCGCATGCGCGCGCCTATGTACCAGAACTGGACGCAGATGCTTATTAGCTTCATCTACTTGGTTCTTTACACACTGGCGATGAACAGCGTCAATCCCGGCGGACATATCGATGTGATCGAGGGTCTTCTTTACGCTTTTACCCTGGGATTCATGTGCGACGAGTTCGCCAAGATCTGGAAAGCCGGGTTCGCCATTATCGATTTCTGGTCTGCCTTTAATTCGATCCTGTACGGGCTATTGACGACCAGCTTGGTCTTCCGCTTCATCGCCTTCTCCCACCCCGGCTCCGACGGCGACTGGCGGCACCACTACAACACTCTATCCTACAACTTCCTCGCCGTCTCCGCGCCCATGTTCTGGCTCCGCCTCTTGCTTTATCTCGACTCCTTCCGCTTCTTCGGCGCCATGCTGGTCGTCCTAAAAGTGATGATGAAAGAATCCATCATCTTCTTCGCCCTACTCACCGTCATCATCATCGGCTTTTTACAAGCTTTCCTGGGTCTAGACCAAGCAGACGACCAAGTAGTCGAAGACGCCATGTTCATAATCCAATCCATGGCCAACGCATTGATGCAGTCCCCGGATTTCAGTGGGTTCGAGCGCTTCAACCATCCCTTTGGCCTTTTACTGTATTACTGCTTCACCTTTGTAGTAATGGTCATCCTGCTCAACATCCTCATTGCCCTCTACAATTCTGCGTATGAAGATATCTATGACAACGCCAACGACGAGTACCTAGCCATGTTTGCGCAAAAGACCATGCAATTTGTTCGCGCACCCGACGAAAATGTGTTTATACCCCCCTTCAACCTCATTGAGATTTTCTTGCTGGCGCTGCCGCTGGAGTGGTGGATGGATAAGAAGATGTACGAAAGGATCAATGATTGGTGCATGGCTACTATTTATTCCCCCCTTTTACTGGTCAGCGCGTTCATTGAGGTGCGTACCGCGCAGGAAATTAGGGCTAATCGCGCGAGAGGAGACGGGGATGATGATTCGGTGGAGGAGTGGGAACAGAGGATGGGGGAACTGGATTGGGAGGCGGATGGGTGGGCGGAAAGAGTAGAGGGGGCTAAGAGTCAGATGGTTAAGATGCAGGAGATGGAGGAGGATGAGGAGGAAAATGGAGAGAATGGGGGGATTACGAGGGGGGAGGTGGCGGATGCGGAGGTGGAGATTGGGAAGTTGAGAGAGGAGGTTAGGGAGTTGAAGGGGTTGGTGGGAGAGTTGGTGGGGATGCTGAAGGAGGGGAGGGAGGGGAAGGGGAAGGGGAGGCAGGTGGAGGAGAAGCAGGCAGAGGAGGGGGAGAAGGGGGTAGAGGAGGAGGAGATCGAGGTTGAGGAGGAGAAAAACGTTCAGGAGGAAAAAGTGGTTGGAGGCGGTGATGGTGCTGGCAGCAGCAGTAGAAGTAGCAGTAGCAGTGATAAGGAGTGAGCCGTTCAGGGCTTCGGTAATGAGGAGGGAAACGGATAGGCTGTGGTTTGAAACCAGATTCGTTTTATCGAAAGGAACAAGTGTTAAGTTACAGTGGCATTTTCTAGGCGTTTAAAAGAGGAGAATACTGAACAGCAAGTACGAATTTCATGAGAATATGTCTTTAACAAATGCGCCGCCAAATAACTGCCACTGGAAATAGTGTGCTAACGCATCAGTTTTACTTGTTTCTTGAGTCTTGAAACGTGACTTCATGCGTCGATGTACTAACCGCTGGATGGATGGATACCTACCTAGAAATCGGACCAAAGGGGGGGAATGATCCGCTGGGAGTAATTGAGAACGAGCACGATGCCCAAGACGACGCCTTCGGATAGAGAAAGGGTTGTGGACGGTTGAATTTACTGGTTCTTGAGATGTGAGCGCACAGCGACAACAGGGAAGGGTGTCTGTCATCAACGGTCTAGTTCCGGCATCTGGATTGAAGAACGCTGACTTGGTTTTACCAGGAAAGATTTTCGACGATGACCGGCACTCAAGGAGTCAAGTAACATACCTATTTGGGTGTTGATAGGGATTGTATGGTAGGTACGGTAGAGGTATTTAAATGTTCATTCATTATATCAGGTCAAATATCGTAACTACGGTAATCGTAATGTCCAGGAGAACTCGTAATCCACGTCGTCATCGTAAGAACGAGAAAAATGAGGGTATATCCACCGACTCGCTTCCATCGTCTCACCCGTATCATCATCATCATAACCAAAATGTCCTTTCTCCTCTTCCCTGCCCTTCCCAGTCCTTCCGGGCTCAGCTCAGCCCCGCTCAGTAAGCTCAGTAAGGAAAGACCCAAAGATAAGCATCCTAAACCCTCTCCACCTCCTTCCCTTGCCCATGTCCACCACCCTCAACACTCTTCCTCCCCATCACCCCCTGCTCAATCGCATCACTTCCACTTCCGGCACTTCCCACCCCATCTCCCCCAAGTCCATATCTTTCCTGTTCATACCCCTTTCCCCACATGCCCATACCCATGTCTCTCCCCATGATTCGCAACAGCAGCAGCCCTAACAACCTCCTCCCCCGCTACCTCCCTAACATCCTCATCCTCAGATACATCAAAGCTCCGTCCCAAATATTCCGGCCCAACCAGCGTCAACAAAATCACATAAGCATACACGCATCCCATAAAGATACAGATAACTTTACCATACTCGTACCTCTCTACTTTCCCCGTTCCCCCATTCTTTTCCAACGGGAATCGTTCACCAATGGTACTCTCAATCGTCGAACTCGCACTTGACACCAAATTTCCAAGCTGATAACTCGTCCCCACCACAAACGTGCGAAACGCTCCAGGCGATAACTCCATAAGATGAATAGGAATAACGCCCCAAGCACCTTGCACAGCGAACTGCTCGAAAAATGCGGGCGCGATGATGACGTGCGAGCTGATGAATGTGTATGGATATAGCAGCGCGCCGCCGATGATGCACATGACGATAATAGAAATGCGACGACCAAAGATTTGCGAAACGTAACCGACGACGATACCGCCCGACATTGCCCCCAAATTGGCAACTACTTGCGTGACGGTTACCGCGTTGGCGCCGAAGGAGTATTGTGATCGCAACATGGTCGGGTATAAATCCTGCGAGCCGTGGGACATGAAGTTGAACCCAGCCATCAGCAACACCAAATAAATCAGGATTAGCCAATGTTTCTTCAGCGCGACTTTGCCTTGTCTTAAAAACGTTGCGCTGACGCCCCCCTTGTCCCTATCACCACTGCCATGAGCCGTGGCGCGCGCAGTCCGACGAACAGAAGCATGTTGCTCGTAAATCTCTGTTTCGGGCAACAATAATCTGAGGCCGATGATGAGGACTGGAGGACAGGCGCCAAACCAGAAAAGGGGACGCCAGCCGTGCGAGGTGGTGTTTACTAGTCCTCGAGCGAAAGCGGTGGCTAAGAGATAGCCGAAGGCGTAACCTTGTTGAAGCAGGCCGGACATGAGGCCGCGAGCGGCGGGGGGAAGGTCTTCGAGAGCGGTGGCGGCGGCGTTGCCGTAGAGACCGCCCATTGCTATGCCGAAGAGGGCGCGGCAGGCGAGGAATTGGGAGTAAGTTTGGGAGAAGCCGGTGCCCTGGGAGTGGTGTTAGTGGGGGTCGTTCTGGTTGTGCAATGTCGAAGGTTGATGTGCCAATGGAGGTGATGGTGGTGACGACGGCAATGGTGGTGATGATGGATGGCGGTTGGTTGACACTTGACAGTGTCAAAGCCAAGACCCCATCCCCCCCCAAACACTGAAAAGAAAAAAATGACAAGCTTTCTCAAAGAAAGACGACGTTGGAAGAAAGAAAAGCCAAGACGTCAATGGCGTTCCTGGGCGCAGTCTTGGCGCATCCTTCCCACCGCCGAGCATGTCATGCATTGCCATGCTTTTGCCAAGTCATGATCATTCGGTTGCTCCCGAATTTGGGGGGGCGCACCCCAACTTTTTCATCCCAGGAACATCCCATGATATCACCTCCACTTCGTTCACTTTCTTTCTCTCCTCCCAAATCCATCATCATCATCATCACCACTACCGACAACAACAACCCCGTCAAACGATTGACAGCACTAGCAGCAAGGGAGGTGGGAAAAGAAAGAAGAAAATACGAAAAAAAGAAAAAAAAACTCACCAACTCCAAAACAATAAACAACAAATTATTAACCACAAACGGCCACTTGCGTCCATACCGATCAGCCGCGATACCGAAAAGAATAGCGCCGATAGACCGCAGCATAAGCACGAGCGTGATGCCCCATGTGATGTCCGTGTTGGTCTTGCCGAAGTCTTCGGCGAGCTCTTCGACGGTGAGGGAGACGGTGAAGAAGTCGAAGGCGTCCCATGTCTATTTTGGTTAGGGTGAGGTTAGTAAGTGTTGATGTGATGCGGCTGGGATAAGTGGGTGGGTGGGCTGGCGGTGTAGTGTCGGAGTTTGTGATGGCGGAGTTGTGTGGGTTGCGTTGATAACTTGGGGATTGATGTGGTGAAGACAGGACCTGAACGATGTGAGGATTTCAAGGTATGATGATAGTGAAGATGCATCTGAGGAATGAATCGGCGACAGTCAAGATAACGAAAAAAAAAACTAACCCAAGCAAAAAACGCCACTCCAAAGAATGCCCACTGCCTCCCCGTAATCATCCTCAACAGCCGGATCGGGTTCGGCGCCGGTCTCATCGCCGGCTTCAGCGTCGTGAACCGCGTCTTGATGTATTGGCCCACTGACATGCCGTGGTGCGGTGCTTGTTCGTGGCCATTTTCGTCGATGATTGTTTCCATCCCGGTGTTTTCGGCGTGCTGGTGATAATTCTGGGTTGCGCCGGCGCCGTGGCCGTGGCCGGGTGGGGACGCTTTTTCGGGGTCTGGGGAGGACATTGTCATCGGTGTCGGTATCGGGGTTGGTTTGGTATTGGTAATTTGGTGGATTGGTGTCGCAAGTGATGGAAGGATGTATTTAGGTAATGCCGTAACGGAGGATATCAATGATACTAGACGCCTATCACAGCGTCACGGTAATCAGGTGTCCGAAACATAGGTGGTTGTTGTTGTTGTTGTTGTTGTAGAGAGGTTGCAGTCCATGCTATCTGAGGGTCTTGTCAGTGGAAGTTTGTTTCTTATCGTTCTTGTTCAGAGAGGTTGCAGTCCATGCTATCTGAGGGTCTTGTCAGTGGTCATCGGAAGTCGAAATCCAAGGTCGTAGGTCGGATATGAAGAACCGACGAAGACAAAATGACGGGTCTCCTTTTCCAGGAATTGGAAGTCCGTCAGGGCGTTCAGGCGTTCAGACGAGAAATAAGAATGGGAAGAAATTAAGATGATCCGATGAAGGGGAAAACCAGATCCATATACCAATGTACCAACCTTCCAACTGCAAAGAAACCCCGTTATCAAGAAATCTCTTCTCACAATGTCCCAGTGTCATCGACCAGCCATCACCGTTCCTGTCCTTTGTCCGGCATCTCTTCCCTTGCTCTTTCCTTCCGAATCCCTAGCTCGCAACTTCACGACACAAAAGGCAAGCGATCGACACAGCATACCACTGACGCCCTCTCTTTTCGGCTTCTCTTTTGTTTCCCAATGGCTGGAGTGTATGGTGTGGGACACCGTCTGTCGTCTGCTCTAAGCTTTCCTGTTGACATGGCTGTGACTGCCACTGCCTGCACCTGCAGTGCTTGCAGCAGCTTGCATGACAACCACGACCGGCCACCAGCCTTCGGTTGACCGACCGACCACTGCACTGCTACATCCGAATTCCCACGTTGCGTCGTTTGCGGGGCGCGCCATATGACCACTTCGGCTTTTAGGTTTCTGAGGAGTACAGACCGGCATCGGTGCCGATGAGAAGCGGTGGCCAAGAGATAACCTTTTTTGACTTGCGGTTTGGGTTGAAGTTCATTGCTATCCGGCTGAGTTTGGCCAGTCAGATCACGAACTGGTCCCGTGGAGCGATGTCTAAGTGACTTCAGTCGAAGAGGTCAAGATCCTTTCTTCCTTCCCTCGTCCAGTCGTCCAGCCGTCCAGTCGAGACTGCCAAACTGTCAAAGGTGCCGGTGCCGGTGAGCCGCCGTGTCATCGGCTTTACTCTAGCGTTTCTGTAGCGTTTTTAAAGTTTATTCCCGTTGACCCTTCGTTTGCCATCGGAGGGGATAAGGGATTGCACAAAGAATGATCCAATGCCACAAGGTTTGAGATTTGGAATCTTGGGTGCCAGCCAGGATAGGAGCGAAGCCAGAAGCCGACGCGACGCCTCTGATGTCACCACATCAATGACCCCCATGTTCTATCTCCAAGTTCTTACCCCAAGTTACTCATCTTTGATTTGCGACGGTGACACAGCAGCTTACCGTGTACACAGTTCTCACCAACAACTTTCTCCCTACAGGTAATGTGGATGTCGGCTTTGTATCGGTCATAACTTTGACTGGCCCGACCTTGATTGAATACCTACGAAGCTTATGCCCTTTCTAAGTATTGCCTTCTTAGGAAAAGAATATCCCATCGTCAGAGGTGAAAAGTGGAAGGGATGTGCGAGTCACAAAAATGAATGTGGAAATTCCCCCACACGCCGATCTCCAACGACACCCCCAAATAAGTTCCAGGTTCCCCGCCTTCCCGGTCCCGCCCCGGCGCTTCTCCAGTGCCCACAGTATGCCCAGCCTTCGATTTCTTGACCTCAGTCCGGGGTCCTTGGGTATGATCCACCACCGAGCAGCTGAATCTCCGGTGTTTTTGCCTCGGAGATCGGTCCTTTACCAACTTCATTGTCTGTTCTCAGTGATTGCTGGCGCTAGCAATGTCAAGCTGAGGGCCAAATGTGAATCTTGAAAACCAATATGGGAGGACTCGTTCGTAGGTGTAATATGGAGAACGAGTGAACGACAGGTACTTACCGTTGAGTCCTTGGTCTTGTGTCCACGTTTTTTTTTGGTTTTTTTTGGAGAACGTGTCATCCTTCCACATGGGGATGGAGAAAGGTACGCGAGACCGCTGATCTTTGCTCGGTGTTGATCGGTGATTATCGGTAGTTATTCAAAGTTTTTGAACGACAGGGGCACAGGTCGATGATGCGTGCACGGTATCGGGTCAAATGGGCGAGGTTGTGACTCATCTCACAGAGCCACAGGCAGTCATTGCAACATTGGACGTGAGTGCGATTGTGATTCCGCAGATATGACACATACCGGATTTGTTCATCCATTTCGGAAGCAAGACAGAACGAGTCTCGAGACATCATATCGGATCAACCACTCACAAATAGAAAACTCAAACAACGGAATCAGCGTGAACACTCTTTCATCCTGTTGATGTAGAATACGGCAAATCGCTAAAACGAACAAATGGACCATACACGTCCTATCTTTCTCAAAAAGTAACTAGTAAGCAGAATCAGATCAGACTTTCGAACTTGGAACAACAACCCAAAGGCCAGACAGACAGACAAAGCATTCTCCAGTCCCATGATGATTGATCAACAGCAACGACGATGACGACGACAGAAGCGTCCGTCATCAAAGAAAAAAACAACTCCTTAAACACCAACCGAAACCAAACCAAGACCAACCAAATCAAAGCCAACAAACACCAACCGAATCCACGGAGGGGTCATGTCACTGACTGACCGACCGACCGAAAATCACAACGCAAATCGTTCCGTCCGTTCGTTGCAGACAAAATGCCGCCAATCCATCCGCCCTACAACGGTTCTGATCATCCTGAACAGGTAGAAGAAGAAAGACAAAAGAAACAGGGGCATAGAGAAGGTAATGCCCGGAGCATGCCATCGACATCCACCACTTTGTCATCCTGATGATGACAGATAAGTCCAAGCCAATCAAGTCATTGTATCATACAGATTCCCGCGTCATGGACACCGGCTTATACACCACCGCCCATGAAGGCAGCCAAATCATCCAACTCCAGCAACTGCCTCTCAAACGCCTGGCAGAGTTCATTAGCCGTCATGTCCACGGCATCTGCCCCGCTAGGAGGGACGCTCGCTCCCTGCGCGTTGGCACCTCCCTGGTTCGACACCGATGACTGCGCGCTGGGCGAGTCTACCTTCATCTGCTGATGCTGCAGCACGGGAGTAGCGTGCGGCGGCGGGCTAGTCGTCGCAACCCTGGTATCGACCGCGCCAACCGATCCACCGTTAATGGTGGTGATGCCCTGGGGACGTCTGACGAGAGGGGTTTCGCCAACTTCGCTACCACCTGCTCCCTCGATGGTCGGGGTGGGAGCACCGGGTGAAGCAGCAGCGGGTCCCACCGATCCAAGACCGGTGCTATTGGGCTGGACGGTATCGAATTCCATGGCTTCGGGGTGGTTGGTGTTGTCGGGAGGAGTGGCGACGTCATCCTTAATGTGAGGGGAGGCGGCGTGCAACGTGGCGCGGCTGTCTTCGCGCGCCTCGCGGTCGCGGCCCAGTACCTTCATATCGCGCAGGACCTTAGACATAACGGTGAGGTGGCGAGCCCAGGGGGTGACCAGGGGCCAAGACTCGGATCCATCCTGGCACAGACGCAAGCTGTCGCGAACGATGCTGCTGGCGGATTCGGTGACGGTGGAAGGAGCGAGACTTTTGAGGGTGAGGTATGCTACAGTCGAGCCGGCGGTAAAGGCCGAGAAGAGCATGAAAATCGGGAAGCACACCATGATGTCCTTGTCGGCTCCGTGTTCGAGGGCGAGAAGAGAGTGGATGATGCTGTGGGAAGCGGCGAAGATACGATCGACGGTCTGCATGTGCGTGTGAGAAGCCATGCGCCAGGCGTCGATGGTGAAGTTCTCGTCGGTTACCACCTGAAGGATGCGGCGTCGGTTTACGAAGATGGTCCCGCAGTTAAGGAGACAGTGAATCATTGCGTAAGTATAACCGCTACCCATGGTGATGTGGAGGTTGATCTGGCCGGGCTTGTCGGCAAAATGGGGAGGAAGCGTCTGGCGGAGGGTATCGATATCAGCCTCCAACGCAAGGCACTGGGTGTCGGAGAAGGTTTCGAGAGTGGTCGTCGTCATCATCTCGACAACGTTGCGCCAAGCTCTAGTGGCAAGAACAATGTGACCGAACTCGCCGACCTCCGAGAGAGCAGCGCCAGGCTCAGCATGGGATGGCGCGGCGCCACCAATGGTTCTAACGACAACAGGGCTGCCAAAGTTGAAGTTCATATCTGCGCAGGGCAAGGCAATGTCGACAACATCGTGAGTCGAGAGCGCGGGGCGACGGCCGGGGCTGCTGGTAAGGAAACAGTCGAGGATGTAGATGAGCCAGAGAGTACGGCGGAAGCTCTCGTCCTGCAAAAACTGGTCTGGGTCGGAGTTTCGCTGTTGGGCGGAGACTATCCTGTACATCTGGATCATACGGGCAGCTTGGCCGAGGTAGATGTAGGCACGAACAGCTTCCCTGCAACCCCATTCGTGGATGACGAGAAGGCAGAGGGCCTGGATATCGGCAAGGCTAGGAGAAGCCAACGACTGCATCACAAGTTGACCCGCCTTCTGGGCAAAATGCTCAGCAGCGCCAGCGCCACCGAGTTGTCCTCCATAGCGTCGAATCATGGCGGGAGAGTGGCGAGCGGCTGTGGTGAGGAGGGCATTGACCAAGGTCCATTCCATCGAGGCATTTTTGAGTTGCTGTAGGCAGGAGGGCTTGTGGAAGGCGACGCATGCTGGGAGGGTCTTGTTGATTACGCGCTCGCATTCTTGGAGGAGTTCGGGGGTGAGTCTGCGTTTGAAGATGCATTGGTTAGCCATGTTTCTCTGGACGTGATGCAATATAGAGGACGACAGATATAAAAAATGGGAACGATGGGAGGTATGATGGTTGACAGATGGAGATGCTTGCCACAGATAAAGCTGGCAATGTCAATGTGAAAAGGTGTGGTGACGGCCACGTCGCTGAAGCAAAGTTTTCCAGGCTAAACGAGGAAAGTGCAACCCGCAGGGCAAATGACCTGCAGTGGGTGCTGCAAACACCGAGGAAGGAGCATCTCGCGATCCTTCCCGTTGGTGTTGACGCATTGGATGCTTATCTTATCGGTGTCGGGGACGCGGGCGGAAAAGGTGGAGCAGGCAACGAGGCCGGTGCCGGAAAGTGGGCGGGCCGGCAACCCGAAAGCATCCCCTCTGGGCGCACTGACGCAGCGGCGGGGGCGGGGGTGCCAAGCTGGGCGAACGTGTAATGGTGATTCAGAAAGGACGGAGGTGTCCGCAATTGGGCACGGAGCTTTGGTGGCCAAGCCTCCACCAAAAACCCTCGTTGGCTCCGTTTGCAGGAAGGGGGTCGAAGGGGGGGTGCACGGGGCTGCGCGGGGGTATGAATCGGAATGGCGACGAGAGGTGCGCACGGAGCAAGGGAAGGAATGGGGTACAAAGACGGGATTTGGGAATGGAAGCCGGGCGGAGAAAAAATGGGGGGGTCGGGGGGCGGTGCGTCCTTGTTGCTCCGAAAAGGCAGCGCTAGAAAATGCACTCTGCCTCCGGTGGACGGGTGGACGGGCGGGCGGGCGGGCAAGAGCGCCCAAGGCAACTACCGTTGGAGCAGCATGTGCCCACCTCGGCGGCGCCCGTGCACCCTCCCTCGGCCAGTGTGACTGGTGTGGGCAGTGGGAAAGAAAGGAAGGAGGCGGGCGGAGGATGGCGGGAAACGGAATGCGCGCCTTCGCTGATTCCGGCGCTTGCGTCCACTGGAACTTGTCGGGCCACCCAAGGGGGACCGGGAGAGGAGAGGTGTCCGGTCCAGCACTTTGGACTGGCAGGCAGTGGGAACAGCAGAAAAAAAACAAATAATGGGAAATGGAGAAGCCAAACCAAGTGTGAAAAGCGCGCAAAGGTTAGGAAAAGACAATAGACAAAAACCACTTGGATATGCCAATGACTTTTAATGAGGTTGCAAACAGATTGCATGGGTAGAGGTAGTCATGTAGACAGAAAGTGAAGAAGGAGGAAAGACAACAACAGCGACATCAACAACGACAAGGGGGTAAAAGGACCAGGAAACACGTACTTTTCGTTGGTAGTAGAGACGTGACGCGACGCACCGACGGATGGCGGTCCTCCGCGGTCGCCAGCAGAAGTCGGCACGATGCGCTCACTAGGAAGGCTTTCGCGAGGTCGTTGTTGACGGTTGCTCGGTGCTACTCCTCCGTGGGCGTGAGCCATACTCTCTGAGGGAAGATAGCATTCGTGCATCCCCTTGGCACAGTTCTTGCATGGTGCTCTGCCGTTCTCGTAGACACACTTGGTCTTTCCCTTGCGACACCGAACACAAGCTCCTCCAGCGCGGAGGGCCGTGGACCTAACGACCGACGACATTTCGGTGACCAAACGGGCTGGCTGGCGGGTGGTGTAGTAAAGGGCGTTTGCTCGGGATAGGTCGGATGGTGGTGGTTGCTATTAATGTTGTTTGGCTGCTGGTAATCGACTCAAAAGAAGAAGATGCGTGCGCAATGTTGACAATAATGATAGTGTTTTATTGTAGTTGATGTGATGCTGTTGCTGTTGTAAGTGCGACGACGACGATGATGTTGTTGTTGTCGTTATTGTTGACTGTTGAAAAAAAAAAAAAAAGGAGAAAGTTGAAAAGGTGAAAATGAAGGCGCAAATGACCGGGTGCCGAATAATGACCGACTCGACCGGAGCTGAAAGCGAAAAAGGCCGGAGGTCACGCCGAGGAACAAATCGTTGCTGGAATTCCAGCGACGAATGAATCTGGGGGTCGAAAAAAAAGAGTAGAGCAGTTCGGAGATGTTGGCCTGATTGACGATAGAATCACGGCGCCGGGCTGGTTGACGCGGTGGTGGATAATGTGTTCCGGAGAGAGATCGGGAGGCGAGAAACACGGGAGAGGAGGAAAAAGGGAAGAGAAGGGAAGGGGACGGAGGAAAGAAGAGGAAGAAGAGAGGGCGGATCGTGGCAGAAATGACGGGACTTGGGCTTCAGGTGGGCGGGCGCGGCAGGAAGCACGGGGGGTGGAGGGGGGTAAAAAGGGAGACTTGCTCGAGGCATTCGGCGGCAGCGCTGTCTCCAAGCGGGCACCGTTCTGGCGACCGTCTGCCGCCTGCGAGCCACAATGGGAACGGACGGATCGGCTGCTGGTGCCGGGGCTCGTCAGTTAAAGCGGGGCCTTGACCCCTTTGCTCTCGGAAGTCACCCGCCAGCCGGTTTGGGAGGGAAAGTGACATGGTGGGCCCCAATCCAAGGCTCCGACCGGCGTCACCGTGACCTTGGTTCGCGTTCGAGGTAATGCTCCAACTCCAAGCCTGCGTGCGTCCCAGTTGCCTCATCGATACAGCGCTGCCGGACTGGACCAAAAGGCGACTGGTAAAGATGGTGCTGGGCGTTTTGCCTGGCTTTCTGTCACGCATAAGCGGCCGGAGACAATGGGGTCCGGGCCGGGAGTCACATTCAGGTAGTTGATCAATCAAACTTCAGCTCGCACTAGGTAAGTCTTATCTAATCGCCAAACCAACCGTTTATTATGATGAATAATTGAACTTAAGGGATTTCCATATGGTTAACTAACTGAAAGCAGAGAGAAGACCATACGAAAAGGTGGAATTGCACTTTGACACCCAAAGCCGCGCGGACATTAAATACGGTGGACAGGTTCCGGGAGACACGGGATGCCATGGTGGTTGCAGCCACCAACGAGTGCAGCTATTTGGGGCTGAATGCCGTCGCGATGAATAGAGCCACGCCGAACATTGCAACATTTCAAGTTCCATTTGTGCTCGTAGAGGTAGTTAACGGACAGGTTCCAGTCTGATGCACCCGGCTCCGCGACCGAGACATTCCATTTCCAGTCCGTGTAGCTTTTTGATTGAATGTTTACGGTTCACGGTGCACACTCTCACACACTGACGATCCCCGGCTTGCAATTAGCTGCTGCGGTCGTCGGCCGCTTTCCTTCCCTTGCCCACAGCGGACGGGGCTTGTCATTTGTTTGGCCAGGGGGCGGGGACGGTCAAAGACCCGGCTTTCCAATCTCACACTCCACTTAATCATTCCGAACCATGACGTTCTGTTTGAGAAGATCCGGATAGGAACAAGAAAAGATGTAAATGAAGGAATGGAGTTGCGAGTCTGTAACAGAAACATGCGGTATACAAAACGCTTTCTTTCCACCACTGCACATGAAAAGCATGGCACAGAACAGCACTCAAGAGTCAGCCCAGCAAGCCCAGCGCTCATTCAGCTCGTCAGCTCACCAGTGCCCTGAGCTCTCTCTCCCTTCTCCGTCGGAGGTCGTTACATTCACCGGTCGGGGCCAGCCAGCCCAGGCTTGCATGGAGGTACAAAGCACCCGACACACACCGGGCGCAATGGGATTTCATTTTCAGGGGTTCTGGCCTGGCCTGGCGATCGAGAGGTCCAAAGTGAAAGTTGCCCTGGATCACTGACACAACAACAAGAAGACTCGGCACCATGACGAACTTGTGGCTTGCCCGTTGTCGCATTCTTGTGAAATTGCCATGTTTACGAATACCTCGTTGTCGCCAAAGTCTTCAGATCTTCGCGTTGTTGATTTTCGACAAAGGGATTCCGCCCTTGATCCAAGCTAGAACACGGGCACGGCGCCAAGCAGGGCAGTATGACGCCCGGCTGTGAGCCTGTGACGCCCCGAGCAACCTGCTGGATGGATGATGGAACGAGACTGATGATCAAGAAAGGAAGGAACCCACCCCGGCCCCTTTTTCCTTGCTTCCGGCGTTGCATTCGGGAGGATAACTGATCAGACGGGCAGGGCACACTGCACTGATCCCGCCGTCCCCCTTCTCCATTCCCCCAATGACCCCCTTCTTCCACTCACATTGACGCTCCGGCTCGTCCGCTCTCATCAACAGCGGCAGCAGCAGCGGTGGTGTTAATTTCCAGTCCAATTTTAGGACATGAACTGAATTGAGTGCTCGGTGCTCAGCTGGCGCGACGCCTATGTCGCTCCGATACTTATTACCGTTCTCTCTCACTCTCCTCCTGGGTGCTTCCGTTTCCCCAGAAAGTTAGAAAGTGCATCGCATCGCAAGCCCCTTATTCTTATCGGTTTCAACCCTGGCCGACCGAGCCAGGCAACACGGCTAGGCTCGTGTTTGAGATGGGTACATACAATGGGCTGCGCCCGCGCCGCTCTGGTGCCTTTTTTTCTAACACTAACACCCACTCACCGAGAGAGAGAGAAGAACGGTCGCGCAACCTACCGGATCACATCTTGGTCACATACGACTCATACTGTACGGGGTGTGCTTTGCGGTGAGTGGTCGCCTTCCCCCATCCATTCCTCCAAGCAAGAAGCACTAGTAGTCCCGTCCTTGGCCCCGTGGCCCCCCTTTTTCCTTCCGTCTCATCTGTCATTCATCAACAACTGAGCTCGGGAACGAGCTGGACTGGGCTCCCGCCCGCATCTCCTGGACTCTGGAGAACACGGAACAGGGAACAGGGGAAGTAGTGGAGCACGCGGGACGGGACCTGCGTTTGGAAACTTCCTAAAGTTGACACCCCCGACCGACCGACACCACTCCAACAAACGAACGAACGGGGAGACAGGCATTTGATGACGAGTGAGAATGAGATTCCAATCGGAGGCAGCATGTCGACACCGTGACCCGTGACCCCGTGTGTTCTCCACCTTGTCCGTGACCAGACGGGAGTTGCCAAGACTGCTTGCCGCGCCCGCCCGTCCTTTGTCAGCCGGCTGGCACTGGCAGTTCCGTATTGCCCCACATTTCTCTCCGAAATTGAGAAGGCCCGAGCTCCAA